AATAAAAATATAAGAATCTCAAGAAGAAATTTATAATTATAATAAAAATCAAAATAATGATAATAATAACAATTATAATTATTACAACAATAATATTGATTAATATATCAATAATAATAAATAATAACAATAATGCTAATATTTATAAAATAATATATAAATAATCATTTTATGGAGCCTCACAAAAGAAATTTCAGTCAAACCCTAAACATTTTTCAATTTAACAAATTACTCGATTTTCAATAAGTTATAACGAAATATTTTGTTTTGAATTTTGTGACAAAACCAACTTAGCCCCGACTGAAATACAAATCTCTTATAATGAGAAACGTGTAACCTAAATGTATGTATGTATCATATTAAATACTCGAAAAATGTCAAATAATTAAAATTGTGTTTAATTTATGCTCATTTCATAGATTGAAAAATGCTTAAACCATATTCTGGAAACCTTTTCTAAATTCAACCAGCTTGGAATAGTGCCCTTAAATTATATTAAAGGGCACCCTTGACAAAATTATTTATTGTTGTAAACAAATCGCTCAAAAACAAGCAAAACAAAGCAGCTTTAATTAGCCATCTACTTGGTTATGTAAAGTGGACTAAAAAAATAATAATACATATGCATCAATAAACAAGCAATGAATGGAAATGCTTAAAAATTCCGAAAAGCCTTTGACTTCAAACGATAAACAAACAAGCAAAAAATTATAAAAATAAATAAATATTATTCTAAACTATTCAGTTTGAAGTGTTCTTTTTATAGACATTTAACTATTTCACACAACATGTGGAAACCATAAACAGAATATATTTACTAGGCGCCATAATTAAAAACGAATACATAAAGTAATTTAGCCATAAAAATTGTTTTCAAATGAATCCACAAGCCCGAAGCAAATAGTTAATATGCCCAAAGTCTACCCTACGGATTTTGGTATGAGGCAGCTGTTACCATATCTGTCTCCGTTCATTCATATTGAATGCAATCACAGCAACAACAAAAGGCCGAACACCTTAGCAAATATTGTAATAAAAAAGTTAAACAACAACAACAACAACAACACAGAATAAAACTAATTGCAATTTAGGTAAACAACTTGTAAAGGAAAGCAACTGATAAGCGGGCCTTGAGCCGGCGGTAGAACGGACTCCGGCGATAAGAACACAAACGGCGAATATCATCGATAAGGTCAACAATGTAAAACAACGTTTAAAAACATATTTTGTAAGAACCCTTGGGATTTGTGTACAAGCATGTTGTAAGTTTGCTACTCCTCTCGCCAACGCGCTCACGTTGTCACTTTCCATCGCACTGTGACACAAATGCCATGAGCATTGGGTGAAAATTATGAGTTGAGAAATTAGTAGTGTTAACCGAGTTGAATTTGGAAATTGGATTTGAGTTTATTACATTTGCAAAAAGAAAGTAAAAGAAATTTGTCAAAAATAATATAAATAAAATAAACAAATTTCTTTTAATGTTAGCAAAATAAGAAGTTATTTAATTTGTATTATTTAATGGTGAATCTATAAAATATGGGAATTTATATGAGAAATTGTAGGTAATGAAAAAAAATACACCTTTAATTTTAAGATATTAAACAAAAAATTATATTGTCAATATCGACACATTAATTCGTTGTTGTCTGTCTATGCAACGAACCACTGTGCTCTGCTGGTGTCGCTGCCGGCGCTAATCGCAGCAGCAGCGGCGGCAGCGGAGGCGGCAGCGGCAGCGGCGTCAGGCCTAGCAGCGGGTTAAGCGCCGACGCTGCTTCGCTTTGAAGATCGGCCAGTTAGCAGTTAGTCTGCAATCGCCCGGGCTCGAAGCCAGTCGCTAGAACCGCGTGATAAACAGCCCAACAGAACAGATCGGAAAAACAGACAGACACTTTGAACCGCAGTGCTAACTCACGCTTTTGTGCCTATCTTCGCCCAGTTCAAACGCATAGTTCACATCTGGCTGCAACGATAATCGGCAAGTGATAAACAAATCAAACGCGCAATTCGAACAACGATTCGCCAGATCGTTGCAACTGTTTGCCCAGATTGGAGCCGAAAATTATGGCTCACAATAATGAAGAAGAAACGTAAGTAAAAAGTGAAACAAGTTCCCCAATCACTTTATGAAAACTTACTGAACGGACATCCGGGTTCGAATTCTAGGATATTTTATATATTATATATAAATAATTGTAATAAACTGTAACGCCTTGAAGTCAAAAGCTCTTGAGATTAAACAAAATCAGTATTTAATAAGTCACTCAAAGTATTCCATTGGCTAATTGACGTGCTTATCAGAATAAAGAAAAATCAAAAACTGTCAGCACTACGAAGACTAAATACCCTTGCAGTCATATGACTTAGCGCTAGCTAAGTAGATTATAGATATTTAAAAAAAAATAAAATAAAAGTTTTGTTTTGAGTATATTTTTAAAGTTATATGCCATATATAGAAACAAGAAACTTTTTCCGCGATTTTTCCACGCTTGTAGGCGGAATATTCGAAAAGCATGTGCCATATGACAAGAAAGTCAAGAAAAACTTTTCTCACGATTTTTCCACGCTTGCGGGCGGAATATTTCGAAACCTCGTCTGAATGCAACAGAAATACGAATGAAGAATATATATATATGATAATGATATATACAATTCATAAAACGATAAACAAAGATTATTAAAAAGAGCCTAGGACAATGGAAAAATATTTTCTTATTGTTCTATATATAATAATTAAATCTTACATCATATAGTAATTATCTCTTTGTTTAACAGTCTTTCCATAAAGTTTATTCAAACACTTGTCCGAGCATACTTATCAAAGGCTTAATAAATGCATGTCTGTCAGTTGTTTTCTGTTTTTTTTTTTTTTTTTTTTTTACAATCCGGCGCTACGTGACTCACTTGATATTGATATGGATTTGCCTTGGGAAACTGTAAAGTGGCTTAATGTTAACAGTTTGTAGGCCTGAGATCGACCCAGTTTATACTGGCAGACAGTTTGGAGGGTCTGTCTATCAGTTGGATGGACAAGCTGATATGTAAACTATATATAGACACATGTATATATATATATATATGTATAAATGGAAATATATACATATATATTTATAGATAAGCTCTTTCGATTGTTGATAGCGCTGTCGTTGACTCTAGATGTTAGACTTTATAATTATAAACATTTACAGACCATACATAAGTTCGTGATGATATAGTCTATATGCATAGCACACACGCCAAAAAAGGGTCTAATATAAGCTCATGTATATTAAAATGTCAACTCTTCTATATCAAAATATGTCAACATTGAATTACGTTCAAGCGTTTGTTTAATCGCGTACTAAGCTTATATATATTTTTATTTTTTTCTTATATATTCTACTTTATATTCTGGCCCCTTGCCTTTGTGGATATATTCCCAACTTATTCTTAGAGTATTTTCCAATACATATTTTTGCCAGAGATTAAAAAAGATTATTTTGATAATACATTTTGGAGCTATTCAAATTTAATTAGATTCAAAAGTCTTAATAATATAATAATAATATTGATTCTAAATAGGTATAATCAAATAAATTCTTCGCTAACCCCAAGAGGTCTTAGAGTATTTTCCAATGCATGTTCAAATATTGAAAAAATAATAGAAATATTCAATTCTTAATACCTTTGTGAACTTTGCGCTAGTGCAAATTTAATTTCTGCTCTGTTGAATAACTCGAGATTGCGTTATTTATAGTTTTAGAGGTGCTGACTTTGTTTTCTCAACTACTTGAATACATTTGATTGGCATTATTGCAAACCAAATTTGAAATTCAGTAAGGCACGTCAACAGCATATTAGATAAATGCAATATTTACTTAACACTTTTCAAAGTGAAGCACGAGACAACGAATAAATTACAAAATAAATCACAGCGATTTTTAAATACCCTTTCAAAAATATCCTTTTTAGTTGTCAACAGCTGGAACTAAGAAAACTTGAACAAAAACTTAAAATTGTCATATGAAGTGCTAAAAATTGTTGATCTAAAAATAAATGTTCAATTAACGCTCTTGTGTCAACTTCATATTCGAGCTAAATTTGTACACAAATTATATAAAAACAAAATTTCATCTTAATTCTAGTGAATTTAATTAACAAGTCTGTGAAAACAAAAACTTTTCAAACAGTGCTTGCTTTTGCTTAAGCGATATTTTCAACTGGCTTAAATTAAAACAAAAGTTCTTAGAGTTTATATTAAAGTATATTCGGAACGCCTAGAATAGCAGATGGACCCATTTTAAAGCTACTATTAAAGAGGTATAAGAAAAGTCAACTTAATGACAGGCAGTTAAACAGATATGGAAATCTATATCGACTTAAGATCTAGATTATATTAACCAAAGAGAAAACCATGATATACCCAGTCAAGTATAGAATGCACTAATGCACATGTTCTACTGTAGTTATGAAATGCATAAAACTTTTAAAAAATATGAATAACAAATCTTTCGGGCTTAATAGGCGCAACAATTTTGATGCATAGCTCATAAACTGTATCGCGTGTGAAATTGAGCAAAACTTATAAACAATAGTTCGTAATGACAGTAAACACTGCACAAGCAAAACTCACAGAAGGCACTTTTCAAATCGACTCATCTTGTCATTTACAATTGACGGTAACTGTGCTTGTGACAGTCACTGTCAAAGTGATCTAATGTGCAAACACAAAGTGCTTTCGGCTCAATTGAATGACTCGACTAAAGTTTGTTTTAATTTTTTTTCTTTTTTTTTTTGTAGATTTTATAAATTCTTTTCGAGGTATTTTTCTAGTCGGCGGCCAGGTTTATGGCGCTGAATTTTGATTAAGTGATTGCAAATGCAGTTCGAGTTGTTGTTTAACGAGTTTGTTTTCGTCTTGCATTTGTTTCTGATCAATTCAGTTAAAGTGCGAACAGTTCGATAAGGTGCAATTTTTTCCAATATTATTTCTCAAGTTGTTGTTGTGACTCTTTCAGGCCCTGGAACATGAACTCCTCGAGTGGTGACGATGAGGCGCCCAAGGATCCGCGCACCGGCGGCGAGGACTTTACCCAACAATTTACAGAAAACGATTTCGAGGGTGAGTAAACAAATCAAATACTCAAGTGCACAACGCCGCGTATACGCAATGCATTGGAATTCAGCCAACCTGACGCGCTGCTGGCTGATTCTTTATGCAAAGTTTGCACGCTAAGCGATTCGAGACACGCCCGCGCATTTTGCTCAGGGCCCAGGCTGAGAACAAACTCGTATTACGAAATCGAGTCGCACGTTTTAGGCAAATACATTTACAAAGCTCGACAAATGCCAAGCGGCAGGAGCACGCCGGTTGTGGGTGGATTGGACTTGGAACAATTGTCGTTACGACATGACAGGCAACAGATTTGCGGTGTGCTAATTGCAAAACTAACATCACAAAGTGCAATGCAATGCAGTCAAATTGCAATGTGATGAATGTCCAAATTCCCAAGCACAATGCCCATTATTTCCTCTTAAATCAAAATCAAAATTTTTGCACTTTAATAACTGCTTGAGTTATTTGCTCCAGTTGGAAATCCGACTGTGTACTCTGTTAACAGATTATTCTAATTTATGTAAACAATTTAATAATTGTTTTCGAATGCAAATTTTTTATTTGCCCAAGTGTTAAAATACTAATGGGACAATTAGAGATAACTGACTGCTTCGGAGCGTAAACTATTCCATTTGAAACGTGTTTGGAACAAATGAGCTCAAGTAATTTTGAATAATTTACGCGCTTCAATGAACTTAAGCTGAAAAAGCGCTAAAAAAATTTTAAAAAATTGTTGCTGTATTATGGGAATTTATTTTATACAAATTTTAAGCATTTTGTCTTTTTTTTTGTAATTTTTTCTAATTTTTAATTATGTTTTCTATTTTTTTTTTTAATTAATATTTTTTTTTTTGCAATTAGTTGTAAAGCTCACACATATCTCTGTTAACCACTCCAACCATATCCTTTCACAGTCCTGCAATTGTTCCAGTTTATATATATATATATTTTTTAATATTTATTCACATTTTTTTGATTTATTCATTATCCTACACAATCAACAACTCATCGTCACAACACATTTCCATTCCCATTTTTCATCATGTGTTCCCACACTTTTCACAATATTCCAGTTGAAACCACTTTTGATACCCTCCCATAAGGCATATCAGCTAATCTAATCAGTTTGCCCAGCGTTTCCTGTAGGCAGTGTCTACTGTATCCGCAAACAAATTGCAAATTAAATGCATAAACGCCCACAAAACCTTGATACACATGTGTCTGTACATCTATAAGTTTAGGCTTAAAAAATGGTTGCTTATAATTAATTTAAATTATGATCAAAACCGAGATACAGCTAAGCAGATGATCTCACAATTGGTCGACCGTCAGACTCTGTGTTTGACGAAGTCGTAACGAAAATTGTCATAGGACTAGGAAAATTACTAGCACGTATTATTGAGATCTGGAAATAAGTAATGTACATAAATTTAGACGCTGAAAGTGCGCGTATTAAACAGCAATTAGGCGCAGTAAAAAAAAACGCTTCCCCTGTTGAGACAGGGGATGAGTCAATGCGGCGTATGCGCAATGCCTAACTTGACTTGATTGAAGCGTCTGGACGGACGACCGCAGCCAAACGGCATACATTTTTAACGTGTGCTCGGTTCTTATCAATCATTAAAACTGACTTTGATTTTATGCCACGCGAGCATTAAAAAAGGCAATTAAGAACATTGCAATCGGGTGCAACCGACTACGTTATATACTCGTTCACAGGCCAGCCACAAACTGCAGATATAAACTTTCCCAGTGGGCAGATTTGTAGTCGAGTGTAACCGACTGCGTTATATACAGGAGATATAGAGATATAGATTCGATATCTTTTAAAGGGCTCAATTGACTAGTGCATGTTCCAAGATCCAGCCTGGACCACAAGACGAGCCTTGCACAAACCGCATATACTCCTCACATTCTGCAAAGGGGTATAGACAGTGTTTGACTTTGCCAATAGATTTGCCTGGGCATTGTGTGCGCACGAAACGATGCATGTTTATTTTGTTGTTGTTGTAATCAATTAAGCGACGCATTCAATTTGTATCCACGCATGCAGGACACCGCGCACACACCGTTTATGTGGGCGTGCACGTGCCGGGAGGACGACGGCATTCGCAGCGGCGCCGCAAGCATCACCACAGCGGCGGCACAGGTGCTGCAGCAGGCGCAGCAGCTGCTGCTGGCGGCGCCGCTGGCGCTGCCAGAGACAGCATCAGCGACAAGCAACAGGAAGTGGAGCGTCCAGGTGGGTGCAGCAGCAGCAGTCCCTGACATATGCCCGAGTGTATTGACAAATCTAATTGCGAGCGGGAGGTGTCGCCCACATGCTGACATGTGCGGCCAATCAACGTGACAGAGTCTAAATTATAGCTAAATTATAGGGAGTACGGATCCTGCCAGCAGGATGCGAAAATTGTAGTCATCTGAGAAATCACAGCTGCTTGTGCAGGCACAGTGAATGGATATGGTTGATTGAAATCAGGAGCAGGAGTTAGGTGTGAATTATGTGAAGAACAGATTTTAAATTTATAGCTGATTTGTGTTATATTATATTTAAGTGCAGTCAACTGGAAGAAGCCAGGATTTATTCAATTTTCAATCAAGGAAAGCAAAGTCATCCTTTCTTTTCCTTCATTTTTTCAATTAGGTACAAATCTGCATTTATGGGCAATTTGTACATAAACTTCCATTCGTGTGTTTGGGAGTTCCTTTTGAATTTTATGACATGCTAATGAGTTTATGGCAACACTTTCTTATCTATGCAGGCATGTTTATGAGTGTAAGTACCTTCAACTGTCTATCCATAAGCTCGTTAACGCTCCTGGAGGTCCTTGTGTGCCTCCTATGTGAAATCGATGGTAGGTCTGAGCTTCGAGCAGACAATTTGAATGCTTAGCCCAAAAGCAATTAAAAGCCAACTGCTCATTTTGTACCCAAATTATCTTGGCTAACAGACAGTTAAATTTAACGAGCAGTTCAATTTGACAACCATTTGAAATTTATGAGAAATCAAATTTTATGGTCACATAAAAACTATTTAAGCATTGAGGCATTGTTATCGATAAGCTTCGATAGTTCTCACTTATAACGCAGGATTGGCAGCACTTTATCTGATTGTCTAGTGTTGAAAAGGTACGTGAAGAAAAAGATAACAGCTTTATATTTAATTTGACCGCTTGTTAGTAAAACAAAATGATAAAGTGAATTATAACATTGAACAGAAACAATAGAAATATAAAAGAATTGAGATAAAGTTTTGAGGTGATTGTTAGCTGAGCAGGAAAAAATGCCTTATCGAGATAGAGCTCTTCAAGTGACTAGGGTCACAAATATTTACTTAGAAAACATTGAGTACAAATATATGCCAGGTAAATATGTACTTAGTTTTAAGTAAGATGGATAGGCTCATGCTAGTCTGTGGAAGATGTAGAAGCGTTTATCAGTTCCGACAGGCTGTTCTGTCAGGTATTCATTACATATCTATCGTAGTTTAATTTGGTACACACGAAGCTCAATCTCATTTATAATCAACATCATCGACCATCTCGACAGGCGTAGCCTTCGTCTGCCTCACATTCATTTCAAAAACACGCAACTAACCCACAGCCAAGTGGCCATCTGGTCGAAGGCAATTCCCGAGCGGCTGTGCGCCCAATTAAGCGGGTTAAGCTCAGACCTCCTTGAGTGCCATAAATGCTAGCCAAACTAATCGGGTTTTCCTGTCCAACCTTTCTCAGTGACGCCGCCCGCACAACGTGTACAGTTTATATTGGGCGAGGATGTGGATGATGGTTCGCATGTGTCGCATCCTCTGTTCTCGGAGATGGGCATGCTGGTGAAGGAGGGCGATGAGATTGAATGGAAGGAGACGGCACGCTGGATTAAGTTCGAGGAGGATGTGGAGGAGGGCGGCAATCGCTGGTCCAAGCCGCATGTGGCCACGCTCTCGCTGCACTCGCTGTTCGAGCTGCGTGGCCTGCTCCTCAATGGCAGCGTCATGCTGGACATGGAGGCCAATAATCTGGAGCTGGTTGCCGATCTCGTCTGCGATCAAATGGTCAGCGGCGGCACGCTGCCCGCCAGCGTCAAGGACAAGGTAAAGGATGCGCTATTGCGCCGACATCGCCATCAGCACGAGTATGCAAAGAAGTCGCGATTGCCCATCATACGTTCCCTGGCGGACATGCGCAATCAGTCGTCATCAAAAAGTGAGTATCCCTTCGCGGACTCCATTTATCAGGTTTCTCTAAGCTCATCTCGTTCGTTTGTTGCGCATCATCAATATGAGTTGAGTTTGTCCTACTAAACCTACATTAACTTCAATATTGCCCACTTAATAAAACCGAAAAAAATGAAACTATAATCGGGTTGCTTAGACGCAAGTGGGCAATCATTGCATGCCACATCGCCTGGTTTCGGTTCGGATGGATGCCGTACACCCGTGACGTCTATCTTTGTGTCCAGTAAGGATCAGCGTGGTTGTTATCTCGCTGTTCCCACAGGTATAGACACACTCTACCTCCAACAACTTTTCAGTTGCTTCCAAATGCACCACTCAAATGTCCAGTTCCACACCAGCTGTATAGAGAGCACGCACCCATTTACCATATAAATTGCAGACTCGTAACTCTGCCCCTGAATACAAACTCTACTTCTCAGTATGATCGTATCTATGCCAGCTTATGCACTCTGAATACGATGTCTCTCATACGTACATTTCATAAGTTAACTCATCTCGTATCCATCAATCGATCACTCGCAACACTAGTTAAGTAAGTCACATAACAGTGTTGTGCAACGTCCTATGTAAGTGTTTGCTAACACAACTTCTAACCATCGATCGCTCTCGCTCTTGCTCCCATTACTCATACGTACTATAAACATTAGCCGACATGGGCGCTATTGGCGTTACCACCTGGTTCCATGCGGGCGCCTCGCCCTCGCATGTCCCGTCTAGCCAACAAGGACAACAATTACAGCAGCCAACGACGATCCAATTGCCAAGTAATCGCCTTATTAGATCATTTCAAAACTTTTTATATGGTTTTACTTCTTTGCGTAAAGTGTACCTACCATAGCACGCTCTGTTTAACAAAGATATGTAACTAGTTAAACTATCTCTCTCTGACAAGTATTACTTCTAGCTTTTTCACGATTCTGTTAAAACTCACTCTGATCTTTTCTCAACTCTTGCAAACTATTTGATACTCCAATCTACTCTACTTTTATCTCTTATCTGCTATAACCCCTTTCTGAACTATCCGAAAAACTATAGTAAGCTCCTTTTTGTCCTGTCTACTCAAACACAAGCTAAACGGGGTTCCAGATAAAAAGAATTATTAAAACGTGATGCAATCGACTTAACGCGAGATTCTTAGATATCCTGTTAGTTTCCTTTTTCGTTTCGTTTTGTTTTCACTTTTTTTTACCTACTTTAATCTACAAAAACAAAACAAATTTACAGTGGAAGAGCAGTCTGGCAACGCTTTAATGGCTACCACGCCCCTATCGCTGACCGCCAGCGAGCCCGGACCCCCTGGCAATACCAATGGCAGTACCAATCCACTGGGAATGGGAATGGGGCGTTTTCTAACGGTGCCCGGCAAGCCCAGCAACAGAACGCTTGGTAAAGAACCAAACTTCAACACTTCCCAAATATCAAGAATGAAAAGTTATCGTTATCGTTATCGTCACAGTTACCGTTACCGTTACCGTTACTGTTCGTTTGCGTGTCTTCTTCTTTGTTTTTTTCTAACGAAAATGTAGCCGAAATTCGAACCCAAATCTAGTTTCATTGTTTGGTAGTCTTAAAAAAATAATTGAATAAAAGCCGAAAATTAAAAGAAGGAAAATTTGCATGTGCGTTGGTTGACGAAACATTGGAACCTACATATTTCCGATTACCCGAAGTATGTGAAGAACTTTGATATATAAATACACAAACGTTAATCTTTCCACCTTCTTATACACACACATATATGCACGCCTATCACTCACAGTCTTCAGCAGGATGTATTTTGCAAGCATGATCTATCATTTCTGTTCTTTGTCCTGAAATGAGAATTTTTAACTAAGCTTTATGCACTTCTTTTTTGTATTTTTTTCTTTCTATAAAATTTTTATGATTTTATGTTGTTGTTGTCGTTGACGTTGACGTTGACGTTGTTGTAATGCCTATATCCAATAAACATCACACAACTACACCAACAACCCACACCGCCTGCAAACCAATACCAAATACCGAACCCACACCGAACTATCCACTACACTGCGATACCGAATTTGACTAATGTAGAGAAAAAATCAAATTCCAAAAACTTGCGGCCTCCACAAAATCTGCCCATGATAACAGAGGACATGATTAAGAGTCCCAGCAGCCATTCGATGGCCAGGCAGACCAGCGGCACGGAGCTGGCCGAGCAACAACACAAGGGCAATACGCATTTTATGCGCAAAATACCACCGGGAGCGGAGGCAAGCAACATTCTAGTGGGCGAGGTGGACTTCCTAGAGCGCACACTCTCCTGTTTCATACGTCTCAGCCAGGCGGCAGTCATGGGCGATCTGACCGAGGTGCCAGTGCCAACCAGGTGAGTAACATAGAGATTACAGCTAAGAATCCTACGATAACTCCAAAGAACAAGTGGTAAATTGGAATACATGATGGTCGACCAGGTCCCAAACCAGTAACCTAATATAAGAGATGCCTTATCTTGTGAGACAAATTTCTTTAGAGATTTGTATAGGATAGTTTGAACTAGTCTGGGAAGAAGCCGAGTTCCTTCTTCCAAACCCTGAACCATATAAATTACAGACTGAAACTAAGGTGTTTCCTAACACACGACAATTTCACAGATTCATTTTCATACTACTGGGTCCGCCGGGCAGCCAGAGCAATTTCCATGAGATTGGACGTGCCATGGCCACGCTGATGTCGGACGAGATCTTCCATGAAGTTGCGTATAGGGCACGCAAACGCGATCATTTGCTCGCTGGCGTGGATGAGTTTCTGGATGCGGTTACAGTATTACCACCCGGGGAATGGGATCCAACCATACGGATTGAGCCGCCGGCGGCTATACCATCGCAGGAGGTGCGTAAGCGACCGCCCGAGCTGCCCAAGGAGGAGATCGACGAGGAGGAGGAGGAGCAACGCTTGCGCGAAGAGTCGGGACTCTCGCGTACGGGTCGCCTATTTGGCGGTCTGATCAATGATATTAAACGCAAGGCGCCCTGGTACTGGAGCGATTACCGTGATGCGCTGTCCATGCAGTGCGTAGCTTCGTGGATTTTCCTGTATTTCGCCTGCCTGTCGCCCATCATTACGTTTGGTGGCCTGCTGTCGGAGGCCACGGGCAAGAATATGGCGGCAATGGAATCGCTGGTCTCCGGATTTGTTTGCGGCATGGGTTATGGCTTCTTTTCCGGTCAGCCGTTAACAATTTTGGGTTCCACCGGTCCAGTGCTGGTTTTCGAGTCAATTGTCTATGAGTTCTCGATGGCTCAGGGTTGGGACTATATGACATTCCGGTTCTGGATCGGCATGTGGGTCGCTGTCATTTGTGTCGTCCTGACCGCGATCGATGCCAGCGCGCTCGTCTGCTACATAACACGCTTCACCGAAGAGAACTTTGCCACCCTTATCGCGGTTATCTTTGTCTACAAGGCCATCGAGAATGTGTTTGTCATTGGAAAGACATTCCCGGTCAATCAGGGCATCTACGATTGCATCTGTACTCCGCCGCTGCACAGTAATGCCAGCGTCCTCGACTTTGCCAAGTACAAATGGGACTCCTGTGAGGTAAGAGTCTTGGAAATCCCACCAAAATTCCTCTAATAGCTTCCCTCTCTTCCTTTTGCAGTCCTACAATGGTACACTGAGTGGCACCGATTGCGGCAGGCCACCCACCGAGAACGTCTTCCTTATGTCCGTGGTTCTGTGCTCCGGTACATTCATCTTCTCCACCGTTCTCAAGGAATTCAAGAACGCGCTGTTCTTTCCATCGATTGTGCGACAATACATTAGCGATTTCTCCGTTCTGATTGCCATCTTTGCCATGACCTTCTTCGACTACTCACTCGGCGTGCCCACACAGAAACTGGAGGTGCCCCACGAGCTGAAGCCCACGTTGAGCACACGCGGCTGGCTCATACCGCCGTTTAGCGAGAAGAATCCTTGGTGGTCGGCGATCATCGCGGTATTCCCAGCACTGCTGGGCACCATACTTATCTTTATGGATCAACAAATTACGGCCGTGATTGTCAATCGCAAGGAGAACAAGTTAAAGAAGGGCTGCGGCTATCACTTGGATCTGTTTGTGCTCTCCGGCCTGATTGCAATCTGCAGTGTAATGGGTTTGCCCTGGTAAGTCCTTTTAGCTGCTTCTATCAATCGAATCTCACGGCGTATTTGGCAACTGACAGGTTCGTGGCGGCCACTGTGCTGAGCATCAATCATGTCAACTCGCTGAAACTGGAATCGGAGTGCAGTGCCCCTGGCGAGAAGCCGCAGTTCTTGGGAGTGCGCGAGCAGCGCGTGACTCACATCATGATCTTCCTGACCATCGGCGGTTCGGTGCTGTTGACACCGCTGCTCGGACACATACCAATGCCGGTGCTCTTTGGCGTCTTCTTGTACATGGGCGTGGCCTCGCTCAAGGGTCTGCAGTTCTTCGATCGTATTCTAATCATGTTCATGCCGGCCAAATATCAGCCGGACTACATGTTCCTGCGTCAGGTAAGCGGAGTCAATAAATCATCAGCTGAAGGACTCTTTAAAACTCTCCATTGCTCCCTTTATCTGTTTAGGTACCCATCAAGCGTGTGCATCTGTTTACCATTATACAGTTGGCCTGTCTGATTATCTTGTGGCTGATTAAGAGCTTCTCCCAGACCTCGATACTCTTCCCACTGATGTTGGTGGTAATGATTGGCATACGCAAGTCCTTGGACTTTGTGTTCACGCGACGTGAGTTGAAAATACTTGATGATATTATGCCAGAGATGACGAAACGTGCGGCCGCCGATGATCTGCATCAACTGGACGCTGAGGTGGGCTTTTGTCAGAAATATTTACCCTGTTTTGGTGGTCGCGGCAAGCGCGAACCAAAGGGCAGCCTCGATGGTGGCTTGGACGGCGGCACCAATGCCGTCGCTCTAATCAAGTGCAATACCTCAAATGCAAATGAGAAGGAGTTCGAGGCACAAAGTAGTTTGCTCAAAAAGTAAACACCGCACCGATTTTGGCACAAACACTCAAAAAAAAATAGGAAACACCACACAGCAAACAACACACAACACACAAGAATCACTATTGAAAACGACAACACGCCGATTATCTGGTCACACTCGAGCAGCACATAACGAAACACTATATTGAAAAAGTGCTGCCCATTTCGTTTGCGTTTGCAGTGCTGCACAATCCACCACAGAACAATTTGATTTGTCTCTTATTTGTTGATATCTTATAATGGAAATTATTCTTAGAGATTTTTGCATTTTGTCCTATAAAAATGCATTACCTTACTATGTATATATACCATACATGGGTTTTTATATAGCTCTTTCGTATATATACAAGTGGAAACGTTTTATTGTGTTTTTTTTAACAGTATTTGTAAATGTTTTTCCTTAATTTGTTATAATGTAGCATGCAATTTTTGCATTTTGTTATACATATTTTTAAATATCTATTTTGCTTATACAACTTTTATGTACTTTTATTTAATATGCTCTTCTGTTTCTCCATTTCGATTTAATGCTCAATTATTATGATATTGCTATGAAGTCCAAGCCTAACTGTACCTAAGCTCATGGCCCTATTTTTATATGCTAACTGAAATTCTATTATTTCCTAGTGCATATATATTATTCAATTATAAAACTATGCTATACTACTATAACTATATTGTATTTATATCTTTACTATATATATATAAATCTTTGTATATGTTAATGATGCTAGCTTAAGTAGTCTGCGCAATCACGTTTACACGGTGTAAATGTATTAAATGTAAATGTTAAATAATTTTATAGTCAACAACAAGATCAACATAGTACAAGTAACTAACAATAACAAAAATTTCAAAACTACCAAAATTGGCAAAGAAAAATAAATTTTTGGAGAAATTGTTATAAATTTAAAGGCCAATACCAAAACAAAACAAAAAAAAATAAAACAAATATTTGGCATACAAAAAAATGGAAAGAAAGGAGTTACATCTAAATTTATAGCACTACACAACACTACACCGAATTGGCTCTTAGATCGGCAGCACGCGAATTTTTTGCTCTCACCTACACAAACTCCTCTCTCTCTTTTACCTCACCTTCACCTACACTCTCTAGCTCTGTCTCTCTCTCCCACATACTCTATGAGCTCTTCCGTATCGAAAACAAAAAACATACTCTGCCAATGCATGTCTTATATTGAAGGACAATCATCATCAGCATCAACAGCCGCCCGGCACGGGAAGTGCTGCCTACAATGCCAAGAATGCAAACGCGACAGCGGGTGCCACAACCATACACATACCGTTATCTGGCAACAAAATGGGCAGCACTGCTGCGGGACCTGTGCCCCCAGTGGAAGTAAATCGTGCGACTGTCTGGAAACAGATTAACAAGGACGGCACCTCCGAGCAGCTGATCATACCCGTGACCGTTAAAGTGCGTCAAATCAATGGCAATCAGTAAGTGTAACAGTAGTTGAGTCCAGAACGAGTATTCACTCTATGCGGCTAGGCGAGAATCATTCGACACACGCTCCCAAAGATTCGCATAGGTTATTAAGCCAAGCTAAAAAATTTTAAGTCTATTTGCCTAATATTTACGAGACACATATGTTATATATAAATATCATTCATTTGCATTCGACCATGCTCCTCAGTTCCTCGACAAACGCCGCCCTTTCGCCACGCCTATCGCCCATGCACGAGGCCGATGAATATAACGAAACCCCAAACAAGACGCCAGCCCAAATGCTCCCAGCGAATCAACAGCAGCAACTGAGCAACTGCAAGGAGGCGGCTGCCAAGCTAGAATGTGGGCCCATTGTCGCCGCCCAAGTCCCGGCCAACGTAACGCCCGTCTAAGCGGTGCTCCATGGGCACCACCGTAATACCAAAATACCAAACTACCTAAGCTAAACGGTGTTAGAGAGAACACAAAATGCGTAGAACAAATGCACAACGTTTTTTAGATCGTATCAGAAATGGGACTACAAGATTAACGTACATAAGTCTATCCAAAGTGTGAATGTCGAATATATACATACCAGTATCATAACTAATTATATATATATATATACACAACATTAATCGTAGTGGTTTTTATGACAAAGTTTGGTAAACATTTTTAAGTGTGTCCGTAGTATTTACCACTCAACTAAATAGTTGACGGTAAACTAAAAGAAAATGAAAAAAAAAAATGAAAAAAAAGCAGCAATTTCACAGCATTCGTTTGTCGTAGATTTTGGGCTCAGGTACAAGTTTTAGAAGTATTAATTTAAAATATTGTATGGCTCAAAAGCTATAACGTAGTATATGCATTCCAAAGAAACTATATATATACACTTTTTTAAAAGAATTTTACAACAACACACGAACCAGTGTCAATTCAACATGAACTCTCCCCAGATCAACAAGCTATAACGGTCTACTAAATATGATCCTCTTATGTGTTTGCTTTTCATTTGGCGATTTTAATTAATATGGGTTGGATAAGCTGTGATCTTATTGTAGGGTGCGGGGTATGGGGGAAGGATTTAGTGAAAAGCCGTCTTAAAAACAATTAGCCAGAACATTCATAATAATATACTTAAAATAAACTTAAAACAACTGTAAACAAATGTATTATAATTTATGCAGTATACTAAGTTATTCAAACTCAAACACACACACACACACCTAAATACACGTATAAATATTGAATAAAAGTAAAAATTATATCTCTGTATGTTTCATTTTGTGCGCCACAAAAACTAGTTCTAGTCTGTTTTGTTTCAGTGTATTTTGTGCTTAGTTCTCAGTGTGGCACATTGTACATACATACATGCATATAGCACCAATTAAAACTTGGTATCTGCCTGCTCTCCCATCAAATGTATCAAGCATCTATCAATCAGTCAATCAGTCAATCAAACATCAACTCATTTGCATCGTGTTGATGTCTAACTACCTCATAGAATGCTCGTAAACAATCTTGTCTTGTAATGTATGTATACTGGCAGACCTAGAGCTTAAGTCGATTATCTCGGCAAATAATAATACCCGAATTTCATTTTTTCAGAACCCAAAACTTGATACGACGAAGCAATTGTGGCGTGGATATCTTACATCAACGGAAACATCCGTTTGAATCGATGATTTAGTTTGGCTGCAAACGCCATCAGAATATTTATTGTACTTATAAAGAAATTAAATGTCTATATTTATGGTATTATATGTATACCGTTAGCGTAACCGTCCCTCTATTGAATTTCATGTGCATTTTCATGGCACAAAACTGCAACAAACAAACACACATACACACAAACATTTAATTTAATTATTGCAATGTTAACATATCAGTACAAGAAACAACAGATACCCTTCAATCTACCTGCTCCTGAATTTATTATGAATAAATGTTTTAAATGTGTCTTAATGGGCATTTCAATTGGACCCACACAGCTGTCAATTGCAGATTTGAAATTATTGCAAACATCAAAAACTGTTTTTTATCCAATTCAGATGCGCGCCTAACTGTGAAAATCGATTATTGAATAATCGGTTTCAATATTTTAAGATTCCTCTTTTGCAACACTCAAATAAACAACTTTCAATGGGTATTTCAAATGCGCGCGCCACTGTCATAATCGATTTCTAAGAAATAGATGTGTGATCACTTACCAGCACTGTTCCCAGCACTCTTTTGCAGCACTCTTTACGCGACCAGCTGCTTGTCGTTGCGGCACCGAGCGCGTGTTTTTAGTAAAATTCACTTTTTTATCAATTAAAAAGCAGCCAAAATGACGCTTATAACACGTGTGCTGAACAGCAACCTGCCGCTGCGCCTCAGCGCGTTGAAAACTGTGCGTCAGGTGAGTATTGAACTGATATATAACCAGTTTTCCAATATATCCAATCGGCTCATTATGTAATTTGAATTTGTGTCGCATTTTTTAGCTGCAATGCGGCTACAGCTCCCATGCGAAGTACGCGGAGCACAAGCCCATCGAGCGCATCCGAAACATTGGCATCTCGGCGCACATAGACAGCGGGAAGACGACGCTGACGGAACGCATTCTGTTCTACACAGGACGCATTGCTGAGATGCACGAGGTGCGCGGCAAGGACAATGTGGGCGCAACGATGGACAGCATGGAGCTGGAGCGACAGCGTGGCATAACCATACAGTCGGCGGCCACCTACACGCTGTGGAAGGACACCAACATCAACATCATTGATACGCCCGGTCACGTGGACTTTACGGTCGAGGTGGAGCGTGCTCTGCGCGTCCTGGACGGCGCTGTCCTGGTGCTATGCGCCGTGGGCGGTGTTCAGAGTCAGACGCTAACGGTCAATCGGCAAATGAAGCGTTACAATGTTCCCTGTCTGGCGTTCATCAACAAACTGGATCGCTTGGGCTCAAATCCTTATCGAGTGCTGTCACAGATGCGCTCCAAGTTGAATCACAATGCGGCCTTCATACAGCTGCCCATTGGCGTAGAGAGCAACTGCAAAGGTATTGTGGATCTGGTGCAGGAGCGTGCCATCTACTTTGAGGGCGAGCACGGCATGGATCTGCGTCTAGACGAGATACCGCAGGATATGCGCGTTGAGAGTCAGGAGCGTCGGCAGGAGCTCATCGAGCATTTATCCAATGCGGACGAGACCCTTGGCGAGCTGTTTCTTGAGGAGAAGCCTTTCACGGAGGCGGACATCAAAGCGGCGCTGCGACGCACCTGTATTAAGCGCACCTTTACGCCCGTCCTGGTGGGAACGGCTCTGAAGAACAAGGGCGTGCAGCCGCTCTTGGACGCGATTATTGACTATCTGCCCAACCCAGGAGAAGTTGAAAATCTCGCTTTTATCGAGCAAGAGGGCAAGGAGAAACAGCAAGTTGTGCTCAATCCGGCGCGCGATGGCAAGGATCCTTTCATGGGTTTGGCATTCAAGCTGGAGGCGGGTCGTTTTGGTCAGCTGACCTACTTGCGCTGCTATCAGGGTGTGCTCCGCAAGGGCGACAACATTTTCAATGCGCGCACCAACAAGAAGGTGCGCATTGCCCGCCTCGTCCGGCTGCACTCGAATCAAATGGAGGACGTCAACGAGGTCTATGCCGGTGACATTTTTGCGCTGTTTGGCGTCGACTGCGCATCGGGCGACACCTTTACCACCAATCCCAAGAATCATATGGCTATGGAGTCAATATTTGTGCCGGAACCGGTTGTGTCCATGGCGATAAAGCCAAACAACACCAAGGATCGGGATAATTTCTCCAAGGCCATTGCCCGCTTCACCAAGGAGGATCCCACGTTCCATTTCTACTTTGATAATGATGTTAAGGAAACGCTAGTCTCAGGTATGGGTGAACTGCATCTGGAGATCTATGCGCAGCGCATGGAGCGTGAATATGGTTGCCCTGTAACGCTGGGCAAGCCCAAAGTGGCATTCCGAGAGACACTTGTCGGACCCTGCGAATTTGACTACCTGCACAAGAAGCAATCTGGAGGTTCGGGTCAGTATGCGCGTATTATTGGACTCATGGAGCCACTGCCGCCCAATCAAAATACGCTCCTCGAATTCGTGGACGAAACGGTGGGTACCAATGTGCCCAAGCAGTTTGTGCCCGGCGTTGAGAAGGGCTTTCGTGAGATGAGCGAGCGCGGCATGTTGTCTGGCCACAAGTTGTCCGGCGTGCGTTTCCGTCTGCAGGATGGTGGTCATCACATTGTGGACTCGAGTGAGCTGGCATTCATGTTGGCTGCCCATGGCGCGATCAAAGAGGTCTTCCAGAACGGCTCCTGGCAAATACTGGAGCCCATTATGCTAGTGGAGGTTACCGCGCCCGAAGAGTTCCAGGGCGCTGTCATGGGTCATCTGAGCAAGCGTCACGGCATCATCACAGGCACAGAAGGCACTGAGGGCTGGTTCACCGTATACGCTGAGGTGCCCCTCAACGACATGTTTGGCTACGCCAGCGAGCTGCGGTAAGTAACTGGGATGATCTACTATAGTCCTTACTAATAAATCCTTCTTTTGTTCTGCAGCTCCAGTACGCAGGGCAAGGGTGAATTCACCATGGAGTATTCACGCTATTCACCTTGCCTGCCCGAGGTACAGGAACAGGTTGTGCGCCAGTATCAGGAATCCCAGGGCTTAGGACAACCCGAAAAGAAGAAAAAGAAAAATTAATCATTTCGTTCGCTTAGCTTAAATTCTAGTGTTAAAGTCGAATGTTTTTTGCATAGTTTAATTTTATTTCATACAAAAATCTTTAGTTTTTACTGTGATAATCGTTGCATAATATAAAATCAATGACAATTTGTACAGATTTTTCTAAAATAAAACTTCCAATAAATGTTCATGAATTGAAATTAAGGTCTTAAATTTGGGCAGTCCAACGGAAAAATACCGGTAAGTTGGAATGCTTGGGGTTTTCGTTGACCATAATAAATATGAAAAGTACTGGAAAATCGAAATCAAGGCGTTGCTCAATAAACAAAAAAACTGGAATTATTTACCTATAAGTTGCGGATAAGTATAATAATTATCGGAAAATATAACTTAAAAAAAAAAACATCCTCAAATAACAATTTCTTTACTGCTATTAAAAAAACGAACGTCGGAAAATATTATTGCATTTTTTGGTATTTTTATGTAAGGACAACTACCGCTGGGCACACTATTGCAACGGTCTGCTACTCTAACAGCGCCATTTTGAGCATAACATTTGGGCTTACAATTTTATGTTATTACCATTGTTGTTGTTCTGGCGTCGAGCGATTGGGACGTAGGTCGCGCGTGAAATTGAAATAAATAAATAATAAAGATTAAACAATCCAACGAACGTTGAGAGCGGTACGCACGCGAAAAAAGATGCGCAAGAATCGATGTATAGCAAATCGACAGCAATGAGGAGGGAAAGCAACAAAACAACAGCTAATTAAGGCAACAGATTTATTTTTCCGGACGCGAAATGAAAATGTAATCAAAGAGACGAAACGAAATTACTAGCAGCAAAACTTAGAGAGTAGTCAGTCAAACGAATTAATCGACTAACAAATCGTGTGAAATGGAAACGAAGTGCTTCTTCTTTCTCTTCATATGTAGCTATAGTATAGGATATTGCTTGAAAAGTGTGCACAGGAAAATTTCGGACAGATCGTAAAAGAGAAGCGCGCGCGGCGTGGCAAAAAAGTGTGGAAAATTCAATACAAAACGGCGCGACAATAACAAAAATAACAAAAAAACGAAAAGGAGAAAGAAGAAGAGAAATTTTGCAAAAGCAGCTGTGTCTTTCTATGTGTGCGTGTGTGTGTACGTGTGTGCCAGTGTAGCAAGAAAACAACACAAAAAGAGAAATTCAAAAGCGGATTATAAAAACAACAATAGTAGCTACAACAACAATAACAACGGTAATCAACAACAACAACTAGCCACAACCGCTGACTTCCGCTTTGAGCATTTGCAAACGCATTTACACGCACACACACACACTCCCTTACCTGAGTGCCAACGCCAACGCCAACGACGACGCAGCATCTCAGCAGCTGACAACACAGCCTCTCTCTCTCTCGCTCTGTCATCCGCCTGCTGAGGTCTGCTCTGCTCGGCAAATTAAAGAACGCCTACGCTGACGTCGCTGCCGCCGCATAAGAATGCAAAAGATAACAACAAAAAGAACAGAAAAAGTAACAGAAACAACAACTTCCAGCGCGCTGGCGTCTCAACTAGTCAACATTTTTGCATAAGGAGAGAGGGAGAACAGCAACAAAAACAAATTAAGCAAACATATCCGTCAAATTAACTACATTTTATTAGGCTCGATAACGTAATTCGATAAAAAACAAAAAGAAAAAAAAACACAACATGGACTGGATCATCAGCGATGAACTAGGTCTGACCGTGGGTCACGTGGTCGGCTGGGCGGCCGCCTCCGCTATGGTCATAGGCGGCGTTATACCCTACGTGCCGCAGTATGTTGAAATCAAGAAAACGCAGGACGCCGAGGGTTTCTCCCTCTACGTATGCCTGGCCCTGCTGGTGGCCAATTCGCTAAGAATACTTTTCTGGTAAGTGCAAAACAAAGGGTATTCAATTTGGCCCATGTTGAAATGCGCGAGTATTTTAGCACTATTTTAGTGTTGTTTAGTGTTGAATTTCAATTTCACCTATCACTTGTTTCACCCATGCGGATGGATTTGACAAAATCAGTATGCTAAAAAAACATGCCTAAATAATTTTCTATTTCTGATCATTTTTCGACTATGTCCAGGTGCATTTGCCAAAATCAGCAAACACGTTCTCATTAGTTTTTTACTCAATGTAGATTGCGTGAAAATCAAATATTTCCCCTCAAGAGGTGGAAAACAGTGAAATCGCATCCGTTTGTATGAAAACCAAAAGTTGAGGGCTTTCCACATTACTTCACTTCTATGGGTTTTATTTCGAAACCCATTTCTAAGCATGTATTAACGCCAAACAAATTCTGAGAAAATCTCCGACTTTAGTTCTGGTAAAAAATGCATTTATATTAAATAAACTTCTAACTTCGATTCCCGCCGTGGATTTCCACACATCCTCGTGAAAGCTATCTAAAGGTTTCCGCTCTGGTGTTTTCTCTGAGTGCAGATAGTAGAGCCCAAGTAGCTAGAAGCATTTATCTCTTCTGGGAAAATGTTATCCAAACCCTTATGCAGTAGTACCAAGTCAAACAATAGACTCTACAAGATCCCTGCCCGCCCCCAATGACGCACCCTGCGCGCTGCGTGCAAATAATTGCTGTCCACATTGTTATCTGGACCGGCTTGGTACTTGTAAACTTTTGCTCTTATCAACGACTTATCGGGCAATTCGGGCAATGTTTATAGTGCCTCGCATGATCTCATGGCATATGTCTAGCCATGTCATGGTTTTCGGTCGCTTTCTGGCCAGGCTCATGCCTTAGATAGCGCCAGCATTTATTACATTGTCCAAGGGCTAAAGCCACGATATCTTTACTGCCGGCATCAGCATTAAATGCTAGTTCTTTGCGGGGTTTATGATTAAAAAACGCGAATTCCACAATGTGTTTGTGTTTTCGATTATTCGATTAGGTCAAGAATTAATTGGGCAATGGACATTATTTTTCGACGGTTTTTCACTTTTTATTTAACTGCGGAATTTTCCGCTAGTAAACTTTTGAAGATTAAGTGTGAAGATAGTCGGATTCTTTGGGAACTGCCAAACAATCAAGGGAAATGGCAACATGTCGGATTATATAATATAATCTTAGTTCAAGTAATTGATACACCCCTCGCAATATTGTAGGTCCATTGCATTTAGTTCCCACACACACACACACACACGCACAGTTGCAATTATAACGATGACACATTTAATTGGCTTTTGCAGTCGATTCATCGTTAACGCAAATGAATCAAATTCATAGCACAAAACTTAATTCAATTTGAATAACTGCGCAAATGGCCATCAATGTCAGGGTTCCTTCCAGCCGAACCAGTTGTAGCTGCCTTTGTGTCCAATCAGATTGAAAACCAAGTGCGAAAGTCGAAAATATATTGAGAATAAATGCTTGATAAACTAATAATATTGTGACGAATCATTTGCTACCTCTGTTTATACCCTGAAACCATTAAAAATGGGTAAAAGGGTATATTGTATTTGTGCAAAATCCAAATGTATGTATGCATGGATCTCAGAACCTAGATACTTGAAATTTTAGATGTAGGTGCTCCTAGTACCTGCGCAGATCGAGTTTGTTTCCGATAATCGATAACTTACTCCGTTTCCATGCAATCGATAAAAATCTATATCGATATCCTGTTTTTTTGACAATTATGGTAAATAATAAGAACTAGAGTCACCAAACTTGACATATAGCTTCTAAAATAGAGTATATATATGATATAGGACCATACCTCGGTCAAATTTTATTCGATTTTCACGAAGTTTGGATTTTTCTTCATGGTTTTCCCTCTAGATTAATCTGGCATTCAAATCTGAACATCGATTTTTTAGTCGAAATTTATGTCCAAATCTTACCTCAAGATTCGTATATAGACATGGGTCAAAATTTACCACCCCCATAACTCGGCCAAGTCTCATCCGATTTTCACGAAGTTTGGATTTTTCTTCATGGGTTTCCCTCTAGATTAATCTGGCATTCAAATCTGAACATCGATGTTTTAGTCGAAATTTATGTCCAAATCTTACCCCAAGATTCGTATCTAGACATTAGTCAAAATTTACAACCCCCATATCTCGGCAAAATCTCATCCGATTTTCACGAAATTTGGATTTTTCTTCATGGGTTTCCCTCTAGATTAATCTGGCATTCAAATCTGAACATCGATTTTTTAGTCGAAATTTATGTCCAAATCTTACCCCAAGATTAATCTGGCATTCAAATATGAACAGCGATTTTTTAGTCGAAATTCATGTCCAAATCTTACCCCAAGATTCGTATATAGACATGGGTCAAAAATTGCCACCCCCATAACTCGGTCAAATTTTATCCGATTTTCACGAACCCCCAAAACTCGGCCAAATCTCATCCGAATTTCACGAAGTTTGGATTTTTCTTTATGGTTTTCCCTCTAGATTAATCTGGCATTCAAATCTGAACATCGATTTTTTAGTCGAAATTTATGTCCAAATCTTACCTCAAGATTCGTATATAGACATGGGTCAAAATTTACCACCCCCATAACTCGGCCAAGTCTCATCCGATTTTCACGAAGTTTGGATTTTTCTTCATGGGTTTCCCTCTAGATTAATCTGGCATTCAAATCTGAACATCGATTTTTTAGTCGAAATTTATGTCCAAATCTTACCCCAAGATTCATATCTAGACATTAGTCAAAATTTACAACCCCCATATCTCGGCCAAATCTCATCCGATTTTCACGAAATTTGGATTTTTCTTCATAGTTTTCCCTCTAGATTAATCTGGCATTCAAACATGAACAGCGATTTTTTAGTCGAAATTCATGTCCAAATCTTACCCCAAAATTCGTATCTAGACATAGGTCAAAATTTACAACCCCCAAAACTCGGCCAAATCTCATCCGATTTTCATGAAGTTTGAATTTTTCTGCATGGTTTTCCCTCTAGATTAATCAGGCATTCAAATCTGATCACCGATTTTTTAGTCGAAATTTATGTCGAAATCTTACCCCAAGATTCGTATCTAGACATGGGTCAAAATTTACAACCCCCAAAACTCGGCCAAATCTCATCCGATTTTCACGAAGTTTGGATTTTTCTTCATGGGTTTCCCTCTAGATTAATCTGGCATTCAAATCTGAACACCGATTTTTTAGTCGAAATTCATGTCCAAATCTTACCCCAAGATTCGTATCTAGACATAGGTCAAAATTTACAACCCCCAAAACTCGGCCAAATCTCAACCGATTTTCACGAAGTTTGGATTTTTCTTCATGGTTTTCCCTCTAGATTAATCTGGCATTCAAATCTGAACATCGATTTTTTAGTCGAAATTTATGTCGAAATCTTGCCCCAAGATTCGTATCTAGACATGGGTCAAAATTTACAACCTCCAAAACTCGGCCAAATCTCATCCGATTTTCACGAAGTTTGGATTTTTCTTCATGGTTTTCCCTCTAGATTAATCTGGCATTCAAATCTGAACATCGATTTTGTAGTCGAAATTTATGTCCAAATCTTACCCCAAGATTAATCTGGCATTCAAATATGAACAGCGATTTTTTAGTCGAAATTCATGTCCAAATCTTACCCCAAGATTCGTATCTAGACATAGGTCAAAATTTACAACCCCCAAAACTCGGCCAAATCTCAACTGATTTTCACGAAGTTTGGATTTTTCTTCATGGTTTTCCCTCTAGATTAATCTGGCATTCAAATCTGAACATCGACTTTTTAGTCGAAATTTATGTCCAAATCTTACCCCAAGATTCGTATCTAGACATGAGTCAAAATTTACAACCCCCATAACTCGGCCAAATCTCATCCGATTTTCACGAAGTTTGGATTTTTCTTCATGGTTTTCCCTCTAGATTAATCTGGCATTCAAATCTGATCACCGATTTTTTAGTCGAAATTTATGTCGAAATCTTACCCCAAGATTCGTATCTAGACATGGGTCAAAATTTACAACCCCCAAAACTCGGCCAAATCTCATCCGATTTTCACGAAGTTTGGATTTTTCTTCATGGTTTTCCCTCTAGATTAATCTGGCATTCAAATCTGAACATCGATTTTTTAGTCGAAATTCATGTCCAAATCTTACCCCAAAGATTCGTATCTAGACATAGGTCAAAATTTACAACCTCCAAAACTCGGCCAAATCTCAACCGATTTTCACGAAGTTTGGATTTTTCTTCATGGTTTTCCCTCTAGATTAATCTGGCATTCAAATCTGAACATCGACTTTTTAGTCGAAATTTATGTCCAAATCTTACCCTAAGATTCGTATCTAGACATGAGTCAAAATTTACAACCCCCATAACTCGGCCAAATCTCATCCGATTTTCACGAAATTTGGATTTTTCTTCATAGTTTTCCCTCTAGATTAATCTGGCATTCAAATCTGAACATCGATTTTTTAGTCGAAATTCATGTCCAAATCTTACCCCAAGATTAATCTGGCATTCAAATATGAACAGCGATTTTTTAGTCGAAATTCATGTCCAAATCTTACCCCAAGATTCGTATATAGACATGGGTCAAAATTTACCACCCCCATAACTCGGCCAAATCTCATCCGATTTTCACGAAGTTTGGATTTCATGATTTTCCCTCTAGATTAATCTGGCCTTCAAATCTGATCACCGATTTTTTAGTCGAAATTTATGTCGAAATCTTACCCCAAGATTCGTATATAGACATGGGTCAAAATTTACCACCCCCATAACTCGGCCAAATCTCATCCGATTTTCACGAAGTTTGGATTTTTCTTCATGGTTTTCCCTCTAGATTAATCTGGCATTCAAATCTGAACATCGACTTTTTAGTCGAAATTTATGTCCAAATCTTACCCTAAGATTCGTATCTAGACATGAGTCAAAATTTACAACCCCCATAACTCGGC